AGGCACAAAGCCTGTGCGCATCAATGACACATAAAAATGGCCTTTGAACTTCAAAAACAGTAAATTGTATCAGAGAAAATGTCGTGGTGGCTGCGGTCTTGCCCGACACACCACCCGAGGACGCGGGCCCTTCGGTCACGCAGGACTTCAGCATTGAAACCCAGCATCTCCTAATAACACGCCAGTTCGACACACATCATGCCTTGATGTACAATACAAACCAAAATCTCACCTCACAGTAGTCCAACACGTCTTCACAAATCTGTGCCCCGTTCCCGCGTCCTCATTAAGGTTATTTTTAGGTCAGGCAGAGCCTGGAGCACTGCGGTGTTGAGCAACGTACGCGTCGCTTGCTCTCGCTGACGGGCCGCGGGGCTGCCATGGGTCCTTCCCACAGCGTCCACGTCCCGCCCTCACGCGCGCGTCAAGCGCTGTGCACGGCATTTGACGTGTCTATACACGTGGAGACAGGCTTAGCCATGTCTTGACGCCCTTTTTCCCTATCTTTTCCGGACAGCTTGTGGTCATTTTGGACAGCGAGGCTCGGTTCATTTGAAGCACCAATTAGCGAGGACGGGTCAGAGGGTTGCTCACCAGCAAGCGTACACAACGTTCACATGAATGAGAAAGAGGCGCTAGCTCTTCTTGATTTGCCGGAATCACCCCATCCAGACGAATTTTCGGTGCGCGCGGCTTTCAAGGCTTTGGCTTTACCCTACCTGGCCCTAGGAGAAGGCGATGCCCAGCGCCACACTCGCTTATGGCAATTTTGTCGAGCCTACGAGGTACGTTTCGACGACCGATTGTGCGAGTAAAATGCAGTTTACCTCTAAACAGGGAAGAATCGTGTGGCGCGGATGGCTTACTTCGTGCGGGCCTTTTCGCTTTTGCTGAAGTGTCTCTTCACCCTGACTCCTTGCTTGTGTGGTTCGAGACAGCACTTTTTCTTTAGGAGGCGCCCTGATGATTCAAACCATGGTCCCACATTTTGGTCGTGTCTCTTCTAATTGACTGGAGAGGTTTAATATTATTTGGCCATTCTCCTGAATCATCCGTCAGATCGATGGAAAGGTGTATCACTCTCAAATTGGTCATCGTCATGTCTTCCCTGCCCGCGTAGGTTTTAATGCACATCAACGAGGACATAGAAGGAGTGGAGGGAGACGAGGATCTAAACTCAGAGGAGGCCGAGGAGGAGGAGGAAGCGTACTGGTTTGATGAGGACGGGGAGGTGGACGAGCTCCTGCGCTTGCACTGGCAGCATTGCCGTCGCCGAAGACGCGACGGTCAACAGGCCTCTGGAGACGCGGAAGCCCAGCAATCGTTACCCGCGGCACCCGCACTATCTGCGGCGTCCACCAACTTACTCCCTCAGCCTCCCTCCCTCCCGTGCATGACCAGCACAGGCAAGTGCGTGGTCTGGGTCGGGGGCCGGCCCTATTTCCTCGCGCCCGACGCAGGCTGGCGTGGGCGCCAGGGTGTGGCCTCTCAGGCTCAAGCAGTGGGGCATAAGGCAGTGGTGGATGACGATGAAGTGCGAGCTCGACGGGCGCTGGCGGCGGATGACCGTCAAAAGCGCCGGGAGGAGCTGATCGCTGAGGAGAAAGCTCGGCGTGCTCGGCTCCAGGAGAAGGACGCTCGTCGTCGACTGAAGGCCGAGCAACGCCGACGCGAGAAAGAAGAGAACGGGGAGGCCAAGCTGGTCACTTTTGAAGACGCCATCCAGGCAGCTCGGCAAGGTCGTTTCGCGCATTTTTTGGCCATGGTGGAAACGGTCAGGAGGAAGGCCGCAGGCAACGGGTGGCACGGTGCGAGAACCTGGCAGTATGGCAGTACAGGCGGAGGAGCTGACAACAGCCTTCATTTCTACCATGATTTTCTGCGGTCGAGGGACGCGCGCAGGGAGACGTTGCTGCATGCGTGTGTGACGCCCTGGCGGCGTCTGGAGCCTGGGGCGGGCGGGCGCCGACGGCAACGGCCCATATTCCCGCGCCCTGGCCTGGAGGGAGGGGGGCTGCAGCTGTCTCTGGAGGCGCCGGAGGGAGGGGTGGCGATGGAGGAGACGGCCTGGCAGGCCCTGTTGCAAGAGTTGTCGGAGAGCCACCGCGGCCGCTTGCACATTGCGGCTTTCCTCCTGGACACGGATGCGACGACCGGCTTTGCCCTCTTCGATATGAGCCACGACCTCGACGACCAGGGACGGGCAGTCGTGCACGCCATCGCCGAGGCCTGCGACAGCCTTTTTCTTCAACTTTTGCTGCGGCACAAGGCGCGTTATCCTCGCTTTGCCTTGGATTTGAATCAGTTGTCAGCCCTGCACCTGACGCCTTTGCATTACGCAGCCGTCTCGGCCGGGATAGAAACGGTGGCCTTGTTGTTGTCTCACGGCGCCAGTCCTCTAATGCGGGTTGGAGGGGGAGTGGGAGGGGGAGTGGAGGAGGGAGGAAAAGGAGAAACGCCCTTGGAAATGGTGCAGTCGTGTCTGGAGGGAGGAGCCATCGAGGACGACGAAGAAGAGGAGATAATTGTCACGCGTGTAGCGGGAGGGCATTGGGGCGAGGGGGTGGAAACTGGAAGGGAAGGTGGGGAGGCAAGCTATGGACTGGAGTCGAGACGCGTGCGTCTACAGCAAGTGGCTGCCCACTTAACAGCAGCGGCTGCAGCACGTCAACTGACGCTCTGGCAAAAGAAAGAAGAAGCCCGGGAACGCCGCCGGCAACGGTATTCTAATGCGACAGAAGCAGCTCGTCGCAGAAGGGAGGAAAGGATTATGAACGAGCACGGTCAGTGGGGGACGGAGACGCCAAAAGGACCACAGATCGAGGGAGAGGTGCAGCGCGACAGTGAAGCGAAAATGTCACACAGCTCAGAGGAGATGGGCGGCAAAAGCGAACATGGAAACAGCTGCCCTGTAGAGTCTGCAGCCACAACGACGGCAAGTGCTCCATCAATACCATGCACCTCGGTAATAGGGTCTACGCCGAACCCCACAGCGGTGGGGGCGGCAGGACTCACGAGACCGTCCCCGGCTCCTACGTATTGCGGGCCAACAACCCTTGAAGAGCCCTCGACTGAGTCACAGCCGCCGCAGTCCCAAGCCCCTGTACAAGAATCCTCTACTGATGCCCCGGCATCAAATATACTCTTCCTACCGACAGCTTCGTGCTCGCTAGACCCTCCCGCACTCCAGGATGCAAAGCCGACAAAAAGAGCGGACCCTGCCAAACCCACTCCTGCTGCCATTGCCGAACCTGTGAAGGCCCTCTTTAAGCAAGCCGCCCTTGAAGAAAAGCGTCGCAAGAAGTTCGAA